GTCTGGCTCAGCACACCTTACAGTGTACACAGGGCACAGTTCGTATGTAATGAACACAGGGCATACTTCCAGTGTGCAAGTGAATAAACAGGTAATCTGGTGTTCTCAGGAGCCCAGGGATTCCTGTGAGCCTGGTCCTTCCGGCCATACTTTTCTTATGCTTCTTGCCATTGGTTCAACTTTTCTTCACTCTGCCCCTTTGAAGTGGATCCACCTAGTAGATAGCTTGGAGCACGAATATCTCCTAATTCTGGGTAATTAAACTCAGGTCTTTTGTGCTCTAGGTTGATCTTGGAGGGGTTCCCCCAGTGCCCTGTGTTGACAGGGCCTTGTCAGGACCTGGGAGATGCTCAAATGCCTTCCCTGGGTCCAGAAGGCAGACTTTTCTTTGTGGAGTTTAAAGTGTCTGGGGAATTTCAGAAACAAATGGCAGTGCATTTAAAAATAACCCCGCCGTCTGGTTTCTGCATTTGGAAGCAGCTTTTACAACCACTCCCAGAAGTCCTTGGGATCGTGTGAGCTTATTTGGGACTGAGCAAACAGAACTGCTTCGATGCATTGGCGGCTCTTAAAGTGTTCTTTACCAACAGATGTTTGGGAAAGGAGCGGGAGCTGCCAGTTTATTCTTGACTAAGATCTAACAGCTCTCTGCAAATATCAGGCCTGAGGCTGTTTAAACATCCATCAAGAGAAGCTGCTGTGGTGATAATTAATAATCTATATTTAGTGTACTGTACTTGGCAAAAAAATAATCACTATCTTATCTCAGATTCCTTCCACTGCCTGGCACTGGGTGTTTGTTTTATTTTCTAGCTAGAGATAAGAAATTTGAGGTTTAAAGAATTTCAGTGACTTTAGCGAAGAGCACATACCAAAGAGAGAACTTCATGAAGGATCAAGACCCAAAACCAAATTTTCTGTTTTCCCACATTATGAGACTGCTCCTCTAGCAACTTGGGGCCTTCTCGGCATTTAAAGATGTACTAGAAAGTGCTCAGACTAGAGCCAGGTAGGGCTGAATTAGGATCTTAGGACAAAACCCTTCACTTTTTTTTTAACAGGTAAAATCAGTGTGTTTAATTCTATTGCCCAATATTTTGAGAAGCTGATGGTCATAAAGCTTCAAAGGCCCTGCCCACTCAAGAAATTTAAGCCCCTTATTACTCCTTCCCAGTCCAAGGGAAACCACCTCCACTCAAAAATGTCCCAGGATAGCTTACTTGCCTGGAGCCAGGCTGGAGAAGAACCCTCGATAGAGCTACACATCCCACAGAGCTGGATTCTAGGCCAGTTTCCATGGAAGGAGAAGAGGCTCTGTGCTAAAGAGTAGGAAAACTTGTCCCATGGCCTCCAGTGTTTACCCAGGACTGTTCCTCTCCTGGCCAGCTCCAGTCTCCGGAAGCCCACTGCATCTGCACCTTTCCCTGTTCTATTCCCATGTGACCATCGCCATCATAGGTCCTAGAAAGCATCCTGGTGTGTCAAACCTCAAAGCCTATGGGCCACATGTGTCCCAAAACCCCTATGAAGGTGACCCAACACTTTTGTACATGACATCATTGGCAAATGTCAAAAGATCACACACTGCTATTGACCTTTCTGTCTCTGCACAGTGGACAGTGTGTGTCAGGTCACTGGGAAATGTTTTTCCCTGAAGCTCCAAGCCTTCCCAAGCCTTCCCAAACCTTCCCTATCTCCCAGTGTAGAAGGAAGTTTCTGTTAGAAACAAGATTCCTAGTTAGTAGCTCTGGGGAACTCTGCCTAATTTTTTAATTATTATTTCATGTGTATGGGTATTTTACCAATGTATATCTTTGTGCACAAGTACGCCTACTACCTGCACAGGCCAAAAGACAGTGCTCTATCCCCTAGAACTGGAGTTTCAGGCAACTGTGAGTCGTGCAAATGCTGGAAATTGATTTAAGTCCTCTGGAAGAACAACCACTAGGCTATCTCTTCAGTCTCCTGTCTCATTTTATACTGCCCTTTCCCCAACAAATGTGATTCTAGCTCTATCATGGATAAGAATATCAATTCTTTCAGGGGTTTAATTATCTTACCGGGTTCTTGGCACTTAACATCGCCTCTGGCTCATATGATACAACCAACACCTAGGACATAGAAAGAGTATGGTGACATGGTCTCCCAGACTGTTACCAGTGGCTGTTGCTTATTACTTAGTGGGAGTGGTCTCTTCTAGCTGGTCTCATTCTAAGTTGTCCTGACTAGTATTGAGAACAGATATTTCTGCTCAGACTTCAGAACGACTTTACTGATGTTTGTTTTATTCTAATAATTCTCCTGGGAATTTGAGTATAACTTCATATACTGGGCATATCGAATTTTTGATGAGGTTTCCCCATAGTCTTCAGATAATGAGTGTCTGGCTTCTTTCTGTACTGTTGGAGCAAAGTCTCAGATGGAGTGACACAGAGACCCTGTACCAAATCAGCTCAAGAAACTGGGTGTCTGTAGTAATCTGAATTAAAATGTCCCCCATAGGCTCACAGGGAGTGGCATTATTTGAAAATATTAGGAGATATGGCCTTATTGGAGAAAATGTGTCACTGGGGGTGGGCTTTGAGATTTCAGAAGCTCAAGCCAGGCCCAGTGGCTCACTGTCTCTTCCTATTGCCCACCAGTCCAAATGTAGAACTCTTGACTTCTCCCCAGCACTGTGTCTGCCTACTCATCACCATGCTTCCTGCCATGCTGATTATGGACTAAACCTCTGAGCATTTCCTTTTGTGAAGATTTTCTCTTTACTCGGAGAATTCTTAAAAAAAAAACAAAAACTAGTCTTTTCTCATTTCACATACCAATCCCAGCTCCCACTGCCTCCCCTCCTCCTGCTCCCCCACCCATCATTCATGGAATTTTTTCTCATCCTCTGTCAAGGTGGCTTCCAATGTACCTTTAATGGTTGTTTAATATATTGTAAAAACGGTATCCTTTTCAGGTTGTAAGCCCTCTCCGCCTTCTCCCTGGACTGCTTTTCCTGTAAGTGCATTACGTAACTGATTCTCACCTTACATCTTTATGGAGCCCAAATTTTCCTTGTGCTCATTTTTCTCCATGAAAAAAAAAAAACCTTCCCCATGTGCATAAGGATCACCTGAGCCCTGTGATAAGAAATGTCTCACAACTGCACCCGTACATCCCTCCACAGAATCCCTTCCAGATGGGAATCTACTTCCACAGCCTCCTTTCCCAGTAGAATGTGGGTCTGCCTGGGACTCGGAGTCTTGAATGCCCTCTTTATTTTATGACTATGCGCTCATAGAACTATGTGTTTTATAGGTAATATGACGCTGGAATTTACAATATCCACTGTCCATCCAGCATCCAGTTAATCTTTCAAATCACCTAGTGAGCTATTATCACTCTTCTATTTCCATCCTTCCCAAACCTGCCTTCCTCCCATACCTAGGTTAGGCTCTACCCCTTCAGGGCCTACAGACTCCTCCCTCTGGATGGGATGATGCTTTTATTGCCCCTGCCCCTCAGGCTCACCCATGCATCCCTTTGGTCTCTTGGACCATTTGAGCTGCAGACTCACTCAAGCCTGCAGGACCTGCCCTGCTGACCGGTTGCCTGGACTGTGCATCCTAAATCTTTGTGCAGCTATCCATTGCTCCTGCCTCAGCATCCATATGGAGAGTCGTGGCTGTATGGAAATGCAATTTTGGCATAGCGCCACCACCCCTCCCTCAGAAAGTGTCTTCTTTGTTAGGGGCATCCTGCTATGTGATGTTAGGGACCTCCACAGCCACAAGCCTCAGCAGCTAAGTTGAACAGGTGCCCAGATAATGTTTGTGGAAAGAAATTCTCAGAAGACTGAGTAGTTCAAGTGATGGTGGTTGATGTCATGACCTCAAGAAACCTCTCCTTCTTGAGCCCTCCTTTGTCTACTCACATGAAGTGAGATGGGGACCCCCAGCCATAACGGTATCTCTTGTTGGCCTTTATTCCCATCCTTAGGTTGATCTCTTCTTTGAAAACCAAAGTCTGTAAACTCCAGAGAGGCATATTCGCGCTTCCCAACCCACAGATCCTTCATCCAAGGTTAAATAAGTGTGTTTTACTTTAATCAGGAATAAATACATGATTGAGCAAAGTGTAATGCTTCCCACTTAAAAGTACTCCCAAAGTTCCAATCACATGGACCACAACAGAAGACAGCATAGAAGATAGTGAGCTGACGTAGCAGGAGCTGGAGATCGTGGCCTCATGCAGAAGTCACTGACCTTGTGTGACATTTGTTTCTCACACACTGGCCAGTCTCTTTGAAATAGCCTTTGGGTGAGACCATACAAGCCTCCTGGTATAAAACACTGGACAGGACAATAGATGAAGTCATGTCAATGCATATGCTTTTGCCCTGTGCAGGGTGAGTCCAGGCATGTGCACAGGATGGGTGACAAATCACCCCTGCATCCCTCTTACCAAGAATACCTTTGATAAACAGGGAGGAATGAGCCACAGCTAGCCTGCCTCCCAGCCAGGAAAGAGGTAGCATGAGACTGGAAGGAGGCTTCTCTTTCCTGAGTGCCCTGTGAGTTTTCTCTCGCTTCTCAATCCTATATGGCAGCATTCAGCTTCTCCAGCCCCCCTTCCCCAGAAATGGGCATTCTTATTCATGCAGATGCCAGCCCTTCTTAGATTAAAATATACAGGATAAATTAATTCATTAAAGCCCATCAGTCTCCTTTAAAAAAAAAAAACCTAACCTTGCTAATCTACTTGGTCCAACAGTCTTTGTATTCCCACCAGATTCATGGGAACAAGAGCTCCTTAGGTAACCCTTACTTGTCCCTAGCACATTATAACCATGAGGCTTCCTTCTGTTTCCCAACCACTGTTCCATTCTGCTGTTCTGCTCATCCCTCTGCCCCTGCTAGAAGCCCAACATTAAGGGATGCAATGCATGCCTCCTTTATTCCCATTTAACCTCAGCCAGTGGCCTCTGCCAATAGGCATAAGAAAGCAGGTTCTGGAACAACACAGGGCCCCAGTAGCTGGAGGAGGCCTTTGATGTGAAGAGGCAATTCTGTCTTTCTCAGAAGTTCGTGCAGTAGAGCTGAAACCTGCCTTCCCCAGCTACCCCTTCACTGACCTACATTCTCCCATGACTCCTACCCATGCGGCTTTGGTGCACCTGAATGCAGAAGGTCCCGCTTGGATCAGAGCTGTAAGTTCTTCTGGATAGTGTTTAGTGTCGCAGGTCCCTTAGGAAGAGAGAAGACATAGGCCAAAGGTCTCACTGGTCCTTTAAAGGTCACTCTGCTCCACGTAGAGGTCATTCTGCATACCTAAGAAGCCATCTTCCTCATGCTCTTTCTCGGATGGATGCTATCCGCAGGGTCTCAGAGATGGACCATTTGGACTGTGAGCTGGAGACAGTCTCCACGCACTCTCTTTCAAGAGTGTTCTGTCTTACACACACACACTCATACACACACGGCTCTTTGAAGCTCTGCCTCGTTATATCGTGATTCAAACATGATCTGGCTCCACAGGACTGATCAGACACCAGGGAAGAGTTCCTCTGGTCACTGTGTAAAGGCAGTCTCTGCACGACTTCCATTTGTTTCTCGAAGACACAAGATGACCAGGGAGTAGAGAACTCTGGTTTGACCACAGGTGGCAGTCTAAACCTTTGTCTTTTGCATACCAGCCAGGGTATTAATCTTCAAAGTACTGGGGAGCTGCGAAGAAGGAACTCTTACGTTTGCTCGCACCGTAAGTTAGGGAGAGACTCTTCTTCTTCCTGTCAAAGGAGCTGGTGTCATCTCCTGTCAGAGACAGGTACGATGCGATGCTTTCCCGGAGACCATAGCTGAAAAGGGATTCGTCCACGCTGAGTGGGTTCTCTGCCCCCTCTGGATCGCCCTGCAATCTGAGTGTTGAAAGATTCAGACAGAGGAAGTAAAAGAAGAGAGACATTAGACAGTGTGGGTGATGGGGACAGAGTGCCAGGAAAAGGGAAGTGGAGAAGGAGAAGAGGAAGAAGAAGGGGAGGAAGAGGAGAAGGAGGAAGAAGGGGATGAGGAGGAAGAGGAAGAAGAACAAAGAGAAGAAGGTTATTCTTTTTCTAACTGGTTTGAATTCTGTTTCTTGTGTTTGTATGCTGTATAATCTTGGAACTAATGTTTTCTCATGTGCTTAAACTTCCCACAGTAAACCTTAATCAATATTCTTTATGATATTTACAAAAATAATCATTTCATTCATGTCTTGGACAATTCTGATTTCCCATTTGCTTTAAATTGCCTGATGAGATACTTGGGTACATGCTCAATTAATGAGATACCCAACAATAGCAACCCACAACCCACCTAAACACTCAATAGCTGTCAGTGGAATAGAGGAACGAACTAGTCAAGGTACTTTTCTTCCTTTCTTACTCAAAGAGAATGAGTTACCTTAAGATTTAGGTGGAATGTATAAGCTTTGTAATTAGATTTTAAATATTAAATGTATGCCAGAATAACTTGTGTGCTACTGTCTTGGATTCTAATCATTAGAAAGAGCAGGGTGGTTGTTTCTATTAAAAATGTGGTGTTTGCATTGAAAATGGACTTGGGGAATGTCTGAAGCTCCAGAAAACTGTGGATACCATATGCTGTGTGACACTCTGTGTTCACAGAATTCAGAGTCTGCCCTTGTTCATGGTGCCCATGGGGGTATTAGCAAGGTTGGGTGCTTGCTTGTGATTTTCTTATGCTGGGGTCACCCCGTCTGTAGCGTGAATCCTAATTGGCCTTAATAATAAATACCAGGAGTCAGATATTAGGGGGTTAATGTTGAAAGATCAGAGATGCCGCACAGCCGGCCTCCAGAGTTCTTACCTCTATGAAATCTTCAGAAAAAGAGCTGAGGTCCTGTCTCCTCGTGCCTTATATTCCTCCCTCTGCCTGGTCATATCACTTCCTGTCTCCACTTCTCAAGTGCTTGGATCAAAGGTGTGTGCCAACACTGCCTGGCCTATATGGTTAACTAGTGGCTAGCTCTAGCCTCTGATCTTCAGGCAAGCTTTATTTGTTAGAGCACAAACAAAATATCACCACACCCATCTGGTGCTCCTATGTGTTCATGGAGGGCACACATTTATGTGCATGCATATATATGTATACAGACACACACACACACACACACACACACACACACACACACACACACCTGGATGCCCTCTTCCAGTCAAAGGTCTTCTGGCGCAAGGTGACAGGTGAACCAGAGGTGGTGCACGGTGATGAGCCAGCTGTCGATGCAGGTGTGTTCTGTGCCAGACAGGGTGTGGTGAGCACACAGCATAGACCATCAGCCACCTCTGTTGGATGGAAGGGCACCACAATCAGGGATACAACAATGTCATAGACAGTGTGGAGAACAAAACAGAGACCCAGAGGAGCAGTATAGGCCCCTGGTTACTGGCATGGGGAAACTGAGGCCAAGATGTCAGTGGGGAATGGACCTTGGCCAATGTTGCTATGCCCTGAAGGATATGAACTCTAGGCTTACACTGCCATGGAAAGAAAGCAGACGTGGAATCAGAGACAACCAAACTCGGGGCTGTGCTACAACGTTGCTCTAATGAGGTGAATTACCTCAAGCACCTCGGAGCCTCACTCTTCCCAGTCACAGAAGGAAATGACAGGAAAACAGCTGTCAAATACCTATTTGAGAGCAGAGTTTTCATAGCAGGCTGAATTTCACTTATCTGTCCCTGCCTGGGCCAGAGAATGGAAGCGTATCCATCACAGGCACCTTCAAACACTTTCGGGGCAGGAAGACAAATGAAGCGTGGACGGAAGAAGGAAAGGGAGAAGGAGGGAAGGAGAAAGGACGAGAGAGTGGAACAAAGGAGGAGGCAGGTGAAAAGAGCAGAACACAAAATGGCAGACACAGGAAGAGGGAGGAGGAAGCACAATTAAAAGGGCAAAAGAGAGTGAATTGGTGATGCAAGAGTAGGGAGGACCTTCTGACCCTGCACATTCTGTAGGAGCAAAACAAACACGAGGTAAAACCCTTGTTGCTCCCCTTGGCTGGTGTGCAGCCTCGGGTCTGCAGGGTTTCATCTCTCGCAGAGCAGCAGGAAGTAACTCCCATGATTCCAAGCTTCTCTGTGGCAGGGCATCATTACAAATACAGATGTTGTGGTCCCAGACACCTAGGCCTAACGAGTCATTGTCACCTTACTCAGGACATGGGTCCCAGCCCTGTCCTTAGCCCCGGGGAGACCCAGAGGCCTAAGATGTCAGACAGTCAGCAAATCTCTAGCAGGACCCAAATACCTTGGTCTCCCTCTGCTCATCCTGGAGCTTTATTGAGCATCCTACATCCCTGGTGGCTTCTTTTCATCTGATCTGTGTGTTTCTGGGGTGTTCTTATCCAATAGAAAAGGAAACTGTCTGAGGAAGCACATCAACCTAGTAGAGAGTGGCAGACACCCCGCCCCTGACACACATACACTTCTGGTTTCTAGGTGGACATCATGCTAATCCAGTATGTCACTAACATAGACATAGATGCTAGAGCTGGAAGGGAAAACTTGGTTGGATGTGCATCTGAAGCAGTGACCTATTGAGGCTGGAGATGGACAAGGAGCGATGTCACAAGGCAGACATGAAGCCTAAAGATAGTGCACCTCTACTGCGCGGCAAGATGGGCTCTGAGAGTGGTCTACTTTAGGTCTACTCCCACATCATGTGGCACGGAGTGAGTAATGTCACATAGACAAGAGACATTAGTCAAAGGCTGAGCTGCCCTCACCTAGTTTTCCTCACTGAGGCTCCGTCTCAACATCCTGCAGTTAGCAGACTATCCCGTACTTGGGATATGGAACAAAAACACCACAGAAATGTAAACAAAAGTCCTGATCCACAGGCGTGGGACCAGTGATGCATGCCAAAAGCAGTGCATGGCTTGGAGTAGAAAATCGGTAACCTTGTCCTGCCTGTTGGCTATTGTATATAATAATATAATTCACCCTGGTCCTAGCAACTCTGTTCTTGACCCCAATTTCCCAGAGAGATTTGATAAGAGATACAGGGAACATCTGGATTCCCAACCCTCCCCCAACACTGCCAGGTTGGCAGAGGTGAGCCCCTGGCTGTAGCTCGTTGGCCCACAGGATGGTCAGGAGTGTCTTTCAGGAAGGCGCTAGTTCTGCACCAGCCTTGCTGTAGACCGAAATTTCAGGAGGAGGTGGGTATGCCTAGCCCAGTAGTGTGCCATCTCCCAGTCATGAGAGCTCTGGTGGGTGGCTGATTTGCTGTTTTCTATGCAAAATTTCTGGTCAGCGCAGTCCTCGGGTGATTGTTATGAAGCGTCAAATACCACAAACAACCTTTAGGCTTAGGGAGTTGAAGTCCAAGACTCCCTTCCTCTTTCAGTTTTAGCTAGCTGCTGGCTTAGAGGCCATCACAAAAGTGATGCTTGTAATTGTTTTGCACCTGTCAGACTACATTAGACCCAGCACATAAGTCATTACGTTTAGCAGTCCGCAAGAGGCTGTTCCCACCACTTTCAGTGAGGGAGAAGTTGAAGCCTTATCCAATGCCCCTCACAACCTAGTTTAAGCACACGTCTGCCTCTCCCAGCAGCCTTTGCTGTTTCTCATACATCAGAGGTATCACCTATGGGCTCCTTTCTCCTTGCAATGGCTTTTGCTTCTTCAGCTAAAGACCTTAAACCCTAACAGATACTAGTGAGAGTGCCAGCATCTCGAACTACGGAAAAGGAGATGTTAGCAAAGCAACTGCAAAGCCAGTTTTTCCTCCCTCTGGCTAGGTGGAGGAGCAGAGGAGGAAGAGGCTGAAGAAAAGCAGTTGCTATCCTGTAGCTGCTCATGGCCAGGTGCGTGCTCTCTGAACAGCGCTTTGCACATCTCAGTAATCCTCACTGTGCCTGTGACAGGTAGGAATAATTAGCATCCTCTTTGCACAGTAAGAAGTGAAACAGGAAGAGTCACCCAGTCCCAGGTATACCACTGCCAGCCAGCAGACATGGCATATAGAACACAGGGCCAGATCCCGTCTTTGGAAACCTAACAACTGCTAATCCCTTCATGCAGTGCTTTAGCATTTTGGGGTTCCTCCCCATCTTGGTTAGCCTGGAAGACACATTTCTCTTCTAGGAGCTTGATGGTGAACACAGGCAAGACCATAGTTAACTGTTTGGGGTGCTAGGGAGAGAAACATTGTGGTATGCTCTGCAGATGGAGAAGTAGCTGCTTGTTCTACTGCTACAGGTTCCTACAGAAGTGGGGAGAGGTTGGCCTTGAATGCTGAAAAAGTTTTGGCAAGCAACAAAGGGGAAAGGCCTAGTATGTCAGAACAGTGTTTCTGGGTCACCTTCAGGCCTCAGTTCTCAACCTGTGGGTCGCAAACCACTAGGGGTTCGAATATCAGCTATCCTGCATATCAGATATTTACATTAAGATGCATAACAATAGCAAAATTACAGTTATGAAGTAGCAATAAAGTAATGTTATGAGGGACCGTATTAAAGGTTCACAGCATTAGGAAGGTTGAGAATCACTGTCCTAAGGAGACAAGCCCCTTAAAGAGAGGCCGAGTGTCTGCAGCACAGGCTGTGATTGTGAATACGGGGCATCCTGGTGTATTCTGTTTATGCAGGGGGGACATTCTGCCATCCGGGCAGCATGCACAGATGGTCTTATGTGACCTGAGGCAATGAACTGAGCCTATGAAGGAGACAGCATGGGTAGGAGAAATCGCTGGCTTTTCTCGGTGACCTGCACCACCTACCAGGCACTGTCATGCACCAGCACACGGGGCTCACCCCACTGACCCTGGCTGCCCCTTACCAGAATAATGAGTCACCAGGTCCTCCAGGCACTGGAAGGTGAGCCGTGGTGAGATGTAGTACCAGTTGTTGGGCAGGCGGAAGATGCGGTAATGCTTCACCTGCCTGTGTCTTACCGACAGCGAGTAGAAACCTGCAAAGGGGACAGAAGGGGTCAGGACATAGTCATAGCATTCCACGTAAGGGGGACAGGCTGCCCAATCCACTATCACCCAGGTAAAAAGATGCCCCCTTGGAGCTCTCTGTGTTTAGTCTATGGGCAGCCTCACCCCATCTTTTAGGCTGGTTCACTGAGGAACTTCTCCACATGACTTGATCAGACCTGAGGGAATGGATAGTGGCTTTTCCTCTTGCCCTTTTTGAGGTAAATTCTGTCATCTCTTGCATTTGATTAGGGAAGATAAAGTCTTGGTGGTCCTTGAGCCCTTTCCAAACGCAGGCTGAGATGTTTTAGCTATTGTTCCCTAGAGTTCCTGTATCCCCAATGTCACCATGCTATAGGAAAGGGATTCCATACTTCTTCATCCTTTGTGCTTTCTGCTCCTTAATTTAAGCCAGCCTTTCTTAGAAACTTGGAACAAGCATCAGTTGGCATGTGTTCTGGGTCATTGAGAAATCTGTAAAGGATGTGATTTCTCCTTCAGCATCATCAGGGAAAGAGTACCAGGCAGGTACCATCGCCTCTTGTAGCCTTGGTGTCCCCAAGTGGAAAGTAAGACCCTTGGGCTTACATCATGTTTGGACCCCTCCCTCCCTTTGCTCCATCCTTTGGCTCTCCTGAAATGGCTCACTCTGGGGGCAGTGAGAGGGCAAGGCACTGCTCTCACTGAGTCTGTGCTACCAGTAAAGGCCTGGGAAGACTGTTACTGAATATTGTATAGAGAGTGACAAGGAGCCTCTGGACCCTGAGTGATTTGTCCAGTTTCACCTCCCTGGAGATGGCATTCCTGGATGCAGGCCTCAGCCTCAGCCCCCTGACCACCGTGAAGGGCACGTGTATCTAGTTCCACTTGAGTCCTGACTTTGGAATCACCCACTATGTGACTTCTGGCCATGTGGATAGGAACTAGAAGTGTGGCAAGCAGGTTTGCACTGGCAAACAGGAAATCATGTGAACCATTCTTACACATTTACATCCCATAATTTTTGTTTATGCTGTAGCCCTTTACAGTGGGTACCCAGAGCTAGAAATAAAGGAGTATGCTGGGGATGAGTGAGTACTGTGAAGTGTTTGGGTCCTGTGACTTGAAGCCGGGAAAGCATACAGGCGAGGTGATGAGAACCTTCCCAGACTAACGTCCTGCCATGGGCAGGGCCGTGGGCGAGGGATCCAGGCTGAAAGACAGGAGGCAGCCCCCTAGCAACTCAGTGCTGACACTGTACTGCTGGGCCCCTGCTTGGAGCAGTGGCAAGGACTTTGTTATTTCTCTTTTTACTGTCACAGGAAACCAGAATGATAACGATCTCTGTGAGTTTACAAGCTCACACCTGCTTGCCCTAATTCTCGGAGATGCCCCATTTTATCCCAGCGCAGAGGTGACTGCTGCTGAGGGCCTGCACACAGTGAGAACACCCTGAATACTCTACTTGACTCTCACCACGACTTCACAGATGAGCACAGAGTTCAGAGAAGTAAACAGGAACCGAGCTAGTGAGCACAGGCCAGGCCGGGATGGATACCCCTAGTCTGTGTGTCGACAGGCTGCCTAGGCCTGCCATCCATGTGTTCTCAGTTGATTGTGGCCTGCCCTATCCTTATCCCCCTGCTCTCATGGTGGGTATGACACCAGGATCCTGCCCATAGCACTGGCTCTGGTTACATGGATGTGAGCGAGGGGGAAGAGATCCCTAGCAAGGCAGTCGAGAGATGATGCCCTGTGTGGCCACCTGTGAAGGAAAAAGGCTCACCTTTCTTCGTTTCACTCTCTCGGATCATGAAGGAACCAATCTTCGTGTCTGGCAATTGGAGCAGCTCCTCGGCTTTGTCCCTGCCCAGGCCTTCAAACAGCCAGCTAGGAGTGAAGAGGACAGTCTTAAGTGACCACAAAAAAAGAAATTAAGACTGGCCAACAAAACAGCACAAAGTTGATGGCTAGTTCCCAGAAAGCTGCCCAAATTCCACAGATGAGGGAAATCAATGTTTCATTCATTCATTTGCTCACTCACTCTGCAATCTTTCAAATGAAGTGCTCTGAGTAGCTCTTTGTGCCAGTGTTAGGTAAGGAATGACTAGGAATATATACTAGGTTTGATATTTCTTGGCTGGTTTCTCGGTACTGACTAGGGCAGGCCCCTGATCTTGTTATATCAGGTTTGTATACCATGTGGTACTCTCCTGTGCCAGACACCTCTGTAAGACCTCTACTCCCTGCCAAAGCAACACTCCCAGCAGAGGACTATTGTGTTCCCTTTTGGTGTCTAGGGCATCATACTTGGTGTAGGTTCAGGAGCAACAGGGTGGACATGGGGAAGGAGAGCCATGCAGTGTGGTCCTGCTACTGAGCAAGTGGCTCTCTCTCCTGCTGCATAAATGCCTTTGCATGTTTGTATGTTTCTGGCTGCTTTCACTTAAGGGTGAGAATGAATAACCAACCACTACGCTACGGTAGCCCAATAGGGGAGGAAGGGCTGCTTCCAAAGGACAGTGACACACAGGCTCATCAAAGAACACTCTGGACCAGAGCAATCTGTGTTCAAATTCAGTGACTTCTTCTTACTTTTCATACTGGGCTCTGGCAGTTTTCTGCTGGGAGGGACATGTGTTGTTAGTGGATGGCCAGCATAGTTCCCACTTTAACAAGTGCTGTGTTTGGGAGAAAGGACACTGTCTGTTAATCCCCAGGTCTAACTCAGGCTGTGAAGAGCAGTGACATTTCAGTCTTGCTGCCTGCATTATTCCCCAAGTCACACACAGGCTGAGCACGCCTGAGAACTGGGGTCCAGGACACCACTGGTACAGAAGTGGTTCCATTTTCCTATGTGCTCAGCACCATGATTGCTTTCCTTCTTAGAACCATAGTACATTGTAATTTTTAATTTTCTTGCTATTACAGAGTGCAATAAAAATATACGGTGTATTAGTTTCAATGTATATGGCAAACATTTATACACGCAAGTGCTTCTCAAAGTCCTACTTACAACTGTGAAAATAAGACAGTAGCAAGAGCCATGTAGAGATATGAATTATTTTAGCATACTGCTAGTGTATTAAGAGTGTGAAGGCTAACCCTCCCCTAAATCTCCTAAATAGGCAAGACTTCTCCCCTAGCACCAAAGTAGAGCCCCAAAGCCAGAATGATTAAGTAATTTATTCAAATTATCATCACTAGTTGAGGGAGCAAAATTGTGCTTTTTTTGGGGGGGGGGCACACAATTCCTTAGCCGTTTTACTACTCTTCCTTTCTTCCAATTCTGTTTTGGGAAATGCTATCACTCTATTAGGCAGCTGCCTGATAGGGCCAGGATTATGTCAATCATCTAGGTTCTCATCACCGCAGCTCCTACAATATGTAGGAGCATGTGAGTGTGTGTTCTCTAGAAAGGAGCAAGCACTTCAGAGTTCCTGGTTTATAAGTGATGTCAAACTCCAGTCTCTCTGGACATGACTACCATAGGAGCCCCCTCTGTCCACCTTCCCGCTTTGAGCACAAGTGGTTAAGATCACAGTGGAATCAAGAGCTTGAATGTCAACTTCCCGGGCGGGGGTGGGGGGCTGTGACGTCAGAATCTTTACAGCTTGAATAGTGGCCTTTGCTTACTTTCTGGCTCCTCTCTGCTGCACATGTTTGGACTGAGGTTTGGCCTGGTAGCTTGACAGAGGAGGAACCTGTGGTTTAACAAGGCATAGCCACATTCCTAAGGCCCTCCCATGGCAGAAGGGAAGTCGGGCGTGAGTTTGGTAGTACCCGAAGTCCACTGCAACCTCCCAGGGGGCTGTGAGGCCCCTGCCTGGCTGCAGGAGCAAACATGCCTGCTCCTCCCCTACAGAGCCGAGGGTGTTGGCTGCTCCACTGTCTGTGGCCGCCTTTAGTCAGAGATCACAGAAGTCTGCTCCCTGTACTTCTAGCACCCGCCTAGTCTTCTGAGAACTCCACTTCAGCAGTGTGGTTCTGTATCCCTAGCCCACGATCCTACACTGTAATCAATACCTGGGGATGCGCACAGAGCTAAGGAGTTCTATATTATTTCATGGTCTGGAAGTGACAGGCAAGATTTGAACCCACAAAGACTGACTTTTAGTTAGTACTGAACCGAGGTGCTTCCTATAGACAGTGCTGGAGTACTCAGGTATGTGATAGGAGCACTATGACTAAGCAAGAAATTCCAACTTACTTCATTTTACTGCTCAGGAATCAAGGCCCAGAAAGTGGGGAGGATTATCTTTGAGCTGGGACATAAACTTCCTTTCGCAAGGGATGCCTTCTTTGCACTATACAGTGCAAGAGCCCCTCCCCCCCTTTAACCCCATACACATCATGACTGAATAATGCCATGTAGACATATACTTACCCATGGTACACTCTGGCCACACACATTCCTGGAATATAACTTTCCCGTCCGGTGCTGAGAGAAATGGCTTTCCACCAGCCCCCTTCACTGTCGGGACAAAGCAGAGAGGGGACCGTGCATGAGTAAATGGCGAAACCAAATGTTGTGTGCATCATATATGTGCACGTGGAGGCCATAAGGGAACCTTGGATGTCATTCCTAGGGATACTGTTTCATTTTCAACTTATTATATGTATTTCTCTCTGTGTGTGTATGCATGTGTATGTGTGTGTGTTTGTGCGTGTGAATGACGTGGGGGATGGGGACGTGTGCTTACCACCACAGCATGCATGAAGAAATCAGAGGACAATTCTGTGTAGTTATTTCTCTCCTCTCACCTTTACATGCGGGATCGAACTCTGGTCATTGGGGTTGTGTAGCAAGAACCTTTACAGTCTGAGCTGTCTTGCTGGCCCTAAGCTTGTTTTCAGAGACTGGGTCTCTCTCTCTCTCTCTCTCTCTCTCTCTCTCTCTCTCTCTCTCTTGGAAGTTGCTAAGTAGGCTAGGCTGGCTGGCGGGCAGAGCCTGTCTTTTTCTTCTCAGCACTGAGATGACAGTTGTGAGCTCGCCTGCCCTGCCCAGCTTCTTTATTTCGGGTTCTAAGAAACTGACCTCGGGTCCTTATGCATACATGGCAAGCATTTTACCAACAAAGCTATCGCGACTAAAATTTTAGTCTTTAAAGTCTGTATAACCAGCAGCTATCCCTCCCTCACAGAGAGTCACCTGGGGAACCTGCTCACATGCTGACAAGTGTCACCCCTGGGGGACCAGTCGTTCATTTCCTCAGCTGATACGCACGATTGAAGAGTTTCAAAAACAAAAGCTTCCTGTACTGGTTTATCCCCTCAAGTATAACCAAACATCCGTTTGCATGTCTCGATGAATGAGACTCTGAACCAAAGGACTCAGAGCCCCTAGTTTGTGCTACAGGCTGCTGGAAATCTTGCTTACAGATGCTGGCAGGAATGAAGGTGGTACTATTATCACCTACAGTGATTTGGACCCTGCTTCTTCTTCCCAGCATGCCCTAGTGCATAACATTCTCCGGCACATTGAGAGACTGATGAGCTCAGCGGGGAAGCAGCATTTGTCATAAGGGGGCTCCATCCTTAAGGAGCTTAGATTTATATGGCAAAGGAGGAGGAGCCACGGGAGGCTAGCTGTAAAGTCCTGGGAGTACTCAAAGGACAGGTCACAGCAGGGACCAAATTTCTCCCCTCATTGCAGGCTTAGGAACACCCTCCATAGAACTGGACAACTGACCATATCTGAAAATCTGATGGTGTTAGTCACGGTTGGGGATATACATGTTTCGAGAGGATCACTCACTCAGAGATTACACGCAGTTTCTCTCCTCTCCGGAATATTGGGGGGCTGATGTCAGGAGATGGATAGTCATTCAGCACAGCCAGGAAGTCGCTCTCAAGTCCTAGGAAGCAAAGCGGAGGGTTTTGACTGACGGGGCACAGGAGGGAATTGGGAAGAAGGAGAGATGAACCTCCTGGGAGTTTTCCTCTGGAGCAGTGGTTCTCAATCCGTGGGTTGTAACCCATTTATGGGGTCCCACACCAGATATCTTGCTTATCAGATATTTACATCATGAATCATCACAGTCACAAAATTACAGTTATGAAGTAGTAGCCAAAATAATTTTATGGGTGGGGGTCGCCACAACATGAGGAACTGTATTAAAGGGTCACAGAGTTAAGAAGGTTGAGGACCACTGCGCTGGAACTGCCTAGTTTGTGCTTCTGAAGCTCTCTTCCCTCCCATCCAGTGTTCGAGGCCTCTTCTCCATGGAGATGTCCCTATGTCAGGCCGCCAGGCCTCTGACAGCTATAGAACATGATCTTAGTACAGGCCCACCTTGGCCACAGTGTTCCCATCTGAAAAACTCTGCCCAGAGACCTAGAAGTTAGTCACACACAAACTGGCTTTGTCTCACGGTCTGCCCTGTGTCTACAAGCCTCAGTGTTTCTATTGTAAAAATGGGGTGGCAGGTGAGAAAATGCCTATCCCAGAAGGCTATGAAAAGACTCCTCCTTGGAGGGACTTACATAGCCTGACTACTCCTTGAGGCAGTTAATGGGTTGCTATGGAGAAGGAGCCATTCCCTTCAATGGTGTGGTCACTGAGAAGTTGCCTGAACTCCTGTAAATATTCCCCCATCTGTGCTCACACAAGTGTCCTACTTAAACTGGGGGAGCCATGATAAACACAGATAAGAGAAGGCCTAGTTGGAAAGAAGGCACCCAACAGGAGGAGAATCCAATAAGAGAGTAATAGCGGTGAATTTGATCAAAATACACCAAATACACGTATAAATGTGATTTAAAAAAAAACACCCTTAGTACTATTTTTTTCAGATGCCCTTCCTAGGACCTGTGGTCACTTGTGGAAGAGGGTTGGGCTAATCAGTTTGGAGTCTCCAGGGCCAGGAGGCTCAAGCTCTGTGGTTTAGAGCCCCCTTCTCTTGGGGTGGATGGGCACTTTGTCAGGCACCCAGACAGCAGGGATCTTAAGTGCCACAGCAATGGCAAATGAAACCTGAGTACTTCCTGATGCAGGTACATTAAAATTTCAGTTTCTTAACTGTGGGCCCATATTTCGATATGGCACAAAAGCCATTTCCCTGGTCCGAGCTGATCACAGAGCTCTGGAGACAAGCTGTCTGTGCCCTTAACAAAAGCCTGCTCCTAGCTTCTTTTGTTAAAATGTGGATTACCTGAGAAGAGATGTTTGACTGAAGCTGATGACTTAGGAGTTCAGATGTTTGGTGCTTCCTTCCTTTTGTAAGTTGGAAGGTGTCTTATAGAGATGCTAATTCAGGGCCTACCTGACTGCTAGATGCGGATGTGACTTGAGCCCAGGCACCTGGTTGCCTAGGTGATGGCATAATGTGTTTTCCACCCTCCCCGCTCAATTTGGCCTGGGTATATCAAATGTTTGGACAATAAACGGAGGCAATCGGGCCTTTTCCATGATGACAGTGTAAGCTGTGTCAGCTCTTTTCCTCGCGACTCCATTCCAGCCGGTTTAAGGAATTAGGGAATTTATGTTGGACCCTCACGGGCCACGACACTTAACTTGACATCTGAGACTCTGCATGACCTAAATTCTGCCTCCCTCTAATAAGAGCTCATGTATGTATGAAATTTTAATGACGTTTTGCAAGGGGGTTGTATATGCTCTTTGGTTTGTGTGAGCCCAGCTGGCTGCAGAGATCCAGTGATAAGATGCGAATCTCCTTCTTGATGCCAAGCAACGTTGGCTTCCATCCTTTGTAGTTCTCCATAACTCATATGCACTGATGCAGGTTAGTGCTGGTGTTCACTCAAGGGAAACAGTATGTTTACAAAGCAGCAAACATGGTACCCACTGTATCTGCTAGCTGGGTGTCAACCTGCACTTCTCGGTTGCATCTTTTACTTCTTCATTTAGTGGCTCTTCTTTGAGCCCCAATCCTGAGCCAGCCTTGTCCTGCTTCATAAGACACCACGTTCTAGATCCTAGGGTCACATGAGCCGTTGCTTGTGCCCAGTCACAGAATGTTCAATAGAACCCCAGTACTCGGCTGTGCAGGCTGGGCCCCTAGCAAGCATCTTTCTGTGAGGTAGTCCCCTGTACCAGAACCCCAGCTCTGACCTCTCATAGTCTGAAGGTCCTACTGGCCAACTTTTCAATCTCTTACACAGACTGAGCCAAAAGAGAGATTGAAGATGAGGCTGAGTGAGTGAGATGAAGAAAGGTTCCAGGAAAGGCGTGAACCGCCGATTGGGAAATGAATCAGAAATCTATTATCATGGTGGAAGAGTCAATGCAGATATGTTGTTCATTTGGGGAAACTGAGTCATGGGTAATAAACTATGTAAATTTTGTGAGAGGAAACTAAAAGCAAGTGTCCTAATGAGTCACTGGAGAGGAGGAAGGGCTTCCAAGAAACAGCTTTGCCGGACCTGAAAGCTTGGCTCAGTGAGACTGCCAGCCTGTGCCTATGGGTGAAGGAGCCCCACACTCTGCCTTAGGATTTTAAAAAAGAGGTTCTTCTCTTTGTGACCCAGATACCACCCCAGAAATTAGAAGCAGTTGTCAGTTTTGAATTAGGTTTGAAGTCAGAGGTCCTCAATCCTGATAAGGGACAGAGCCAGCCTCTGGGGCATGAAGCTTGTGCAAACTTGTAGGTTCCCTGTAAGTAAGACAAAGGCCAACTGAAGAGTGAGGCACAGGAGAGTGGAAACTTAGAAACAAACCTTCCCTGGGAGTCTACCCAGCTGCCAGGGCTAGCTCTGCAGAGTCCGGGTACCTAATGATATGCCACCTTTCATGCCCACCCCCACCAAGGGTTTCCTGTTCTGTAACCACGATAGGTTGATAATTCTCTTGAGATAGACATACATTTTCCCTGCCTGATGTACTCAAATATGAAACAGCCTCTTACTCACTTGGCTGCCTCAGCAGAGGGTGACACACCTTTCTCAGGCTTGCCTTACTTCCCAGACCCCAGAGTCTTTCTGGGTGCTGTCTCTCTGCTGGGTCACCATGGCTCTCTCTCACTTCTACCACCCCTCAGCAGCTGCAGCCAATAGAAGAGGGTTGATGCTCTGTTATTCTTAACCTGAGGTTCTCCTTCGAAGCGATGTTGCCAGGTTTCCCTGGCACATCTGCGTGGCTGTCAGAGGAGTACTCTACCTGGCTGTGAGCTCAGAGAGGACCGAGCACTTGAGTATTTAGTGTCATGCAGCCCTGGATCCAGCCTGGAGTCTGCCTCTTAAAGGACATTACAGACGTGTGTATAGAGAACAACAAGGATCAGACCCTCTTTCCTGGGGTCCTCTGTGCTACCTCTCCAGAGTATTTCAGACAGAGAAGTACTCATTGGCATATCCCCTTATGACAAACAGGGTAGAAATGACTCTTAGAAACTCTTATCTGTGACAAGAATAGAACGTTGAAATAGAGCCTGTTCTCACCAAGGTGTTTGGGGTTTGACGCCAGCACACTGCACAGTCAGGGTTAAAAGTGTGAAATATGACAAAGCCACCTTTTATAATGTTGAAAACAAAGTGGAACAGAAATAAACAAAACACAAAAGCCCATTGTGAGTGCAAGAGTTCCAGTGAAAAAATGGAGGGGCTTATGGGTATTACCGTTTCATGGTAGCCAAGGCAGCTTCTCGTGGAGCTTCCCTAACAGCCATATTTTCACAGCAATGACAGTGAAATGTCACCAAGAAAGCCTTGAACTTGGGCTTCATCCTAAGGGTTCTCTTAGGAATGTCGTATGTGCCCTCATCCCCTTATCACCAGAGGTAGAACACCAAAGGACCAATCACTAGAAGTCACACAGCCTGATCTAAACCTTAGGGACAACAGCCTAGCCACTGTGAGCAAATTAGATTACACAGCCCCTTCTGTCTTTCCTGAGCTCTGGTCCCTAGGAAAATAAATATTGAGAGTAGGGAATGTATTTTCTCTTCAAGACATCTTTTGACCTAAGTTTAAGCTACCTGTTTAGGCAGACATGCAAAGGTAGCATCTAGACTTCTGGAAACAAAATGAAAGGGTGGTATAACTCCATTAGGACTTTACCTTACATACAAAGTGGATTTTGTTTCCATTTCCAGAGAGCTGAACATTTAGATCCAACCAGATAATGAGTGAGGCAGAAGGAGGGGGCTAAGGAAGGAGAGGCATGATCAGGATTCAGATTCACAGAACAAATGTGTCCTGACTACGAGAAGCCCATAGCCTTTGACACCATCAAGACTGACCCAAATGCCCCTGCTTCAGAGCTCAATAATTTGAAGGAAGGCTCTTTAACAAACCAGAGCTTGATGAGTTCCCAAATAAAAATGGGAAATAACAAAATCTGCCTTGTGGTAGATTATGCAAGGCTGGTTTCTGTGACTCACAGGTCATTCCCACACAGAACAAGCATACTCTTTCACAATCAAGTCCAGTTCTAGCCAGAGCATGTCCAGGAAAGGCAATGGGAGAAAGGTATCTTACCACCTTTAGGTCATATAAACACAAACTCCACTTGGGAAAAGGGAAAAGGAATTTCGGAATACCAAATATTTGCTGATACCTGGTGAGTGAGCAGGGGAACAGAATATAGAAATGGATCATGCAGGGAAGGGAACCAGAGTAGAAAGGATCCAGGCAGAGCTTACTGGGTGCACATGATACCTAGTTCATAAAGAACGGGCTTGTGAGGCATAATTATTTTTTAGTATGTTATGACAGCTTCTTTTCTATGCTAGAACCTATCCAGAAGCTCCACCAACAACTTTTGTTGTAGCAAAAGCTGTAACCATCCCTTCCTCATGTTCTACCCGACCTCATAGGTCACCTGATCCTATCTGGAGGATGAGGAAGGCAAAGCTGGAGAGAATCAGTGGCATGTTCAGGGAACAGCATGAGTCTGCAGGTCTAAGATCAATTCATACAGCTCTCTTTGCAGCTTTTGTCCAGTCAACACTCCATTCTCCAGGGAGAAAGCCCAGACCCAAGGGAGCCTTCAGTGCTGATGCAGGCAGCCCATGTGGCTAGTGGTTGCAGGGCTAAGTGGCTTAACAATTTCAACTTCTGCTTTCATGCTCCCTTGGGTCATCTCCAAGGTCACCACCATTAGGCCTGACTTTCAGTAACTTTGTCAGGAAGCAACACACCAACATAGCCAATCATATGGAGCTACAGGCTGACATGCAGGAAGGCCCTCCAAGTTCTGCTGATGGATGTAAGCCAGGTCTGTGGGTCCTACTATCTACAAGCATGGATTTGGTAGGGTACTTACTTATATTTTATGACATTCATTAAGTGTAAAGTGACTCAAAAAGTTAAATCCACTTCATTCTAAAGTCATTCCATGTTCTAGGAGGGGGTGGGGTCAATGATTATAGAAATGAAGACCCAGACCGAGATCTGACTGGTGCTTAATTTACGGGGTCTCTCACAATAGCAATGTCTGTGTCATTGAATTAGATGAGCAGGCATTGCTCCTAACTCTAACCCTGTCCGAACACAGTCTTCCCCAGAATCTGACGGAGAATAAGAGGGACACCAGATATTAATCTCAGGCAATCCATTTGTTTAACTTCCCTTCTCCCTGATGAGCTGGCAGACTTTAGGAGACTCACTTAACCTTCCTGGCCTCAGTTTCCTCAACTGTGAATTGAAGAAGATGATCGTGATGATGCGGTTGGGCTATTTTAAGAATTAAGCATCAGTGTGAAGGAATTTGCATGTGGTATGCTATTCTTACAGGAGATGTGCATGTGCATGCAATGGTCCCTGTCGTGTGCACAAAACTCTTAGAAGTGTGTGTGGCACACCTCAGGCACCAAACCACACGTGGATTACTTCTGTCACAGAGGCACCATGATGCGCTATCAATCACCTCTTGATGTGTATTACATGGGGAGTCAGGACTATCCTGAATCTGCCAGTCTTAGAGACTTAAAACCCACCAGAGCCTGGTAGGAAATACAGTTTGCTGTTCCTAGCCACCTTCCACCCACCGTCAGTTCTGCTGGATATTGAGGTTTATGTTTCCTTCTTCTCCGCCCCCCTTGCCTCAATCAGCTATTTCTTCATGAGTATCAGTAATGTCAATGCATGTGGGATGGGTGTGATTCCCACCCTGGCACTGTGGGATGGGTTCTGAGCACAGCTGGTTTGTGTGGACGACTATGACATGAGATGTCACTGTAGGTCACAGTGATGGGGAAGGAAGAAACTGGGGGGGGGGGGGGGGATTATCACAGCAGAATCACTAAGTTGTCTTTAGCGGGTGGAAATATGTATTTCCCCCAACATCCTGGGAGGTCCCCCCGCCCAGATTTTAATTAACTCTGTGCTGTATGAATATGGCCCAGGGGAGGTATCTGAAGTTTACATGGTCTGGGAAATTTCATTATTTGCAATACTGTGAGAAAGCTCCTGGGGTTTCCAGTTCCACTGCTTTTACACTTGAGAGATGCTCACACTTGAGTGAAGTCCACATTTGGAGGGAAGTCCACCCTTGAGGGATGTCCACAGAGTATACAGCCCACTGACGTAGCTGACCTCACGTGGAGCTTAACGCGTTCCCACCCTCACTACTAGGTCACTGTTCTTTCTTTGTTCTATTATGGTGGTAAGGGATCTTGGCAAAGTCCCTGATGAAAGGCTGGGGTAGTTCCCCAAGGTCACAACAGTTTCTGAAGGACACCATCTGGGACTCCAAAGGATCATCTGCCTCTGACATTTGCATTATTCCTACTGAATCTGACCATCTCCTTGTGACATTAGTCCCTAGGAGTCACACTGACGAAGAATATTCCAGAAAGCTTAGTTGAGAAGAAAACAAACCATAAAGCCATATGCCACTGTCCTGGCATACTGAAAGAAGGAGCTTCCAAAGGCCAGGAGAATTCTTTTGTCTTGAGCTCCCTAGGGCAGAACCAGGAGCTTTCCTGCCCTGAGCTCTCTGTCACCCAGGCCAAGAGAGGAAGCTATAGCCGCGAGCTGGCCTGAAGCATCAGCAATTCAGGCACTGCCTGATGGGAACCTATTAGAACCTATTAGAACAACAGCCTATTAGAACCTATTAGAACAACAGCGCCCTGGCGCCTTCTCCCGTATTCAAATAGGTACATGAAGAAAGAGGAAACCAAGTCAGGCCTGACAACAGAGGAAGTTTTCAGGGTGGGGCAGCAAAGCAGCCTGTCAAATACTGGATGTGACACTCTGGATTAGAGCCTGCTACAGGCCTGGGGAATTCTAACCAGCAGCCAGAGGGGAGACACCTAAACCCCCCTCTTAGGGGTGACCTCCAGCCCACACAATGGAAAAAAAAAAGAAAAAGAAAATTACTCCATAGCAATTTGCATTTTAAAAAAAGGCAAATGGGCAAGTCTTTGGAGGTCGATGTTTTCGTGAGGCTTGCTCAAGCATACTTACAGGCCCTTTTGCCCCAGTCTGAGAAGCGGCAACTCAGCAATGGATGTGGAGGAAGTGACATTATTTTACCCATTCTCTGGTGCTTGTCCAGCCAGGAGCTGGTTAGAAAAGAGTTAGTTTGGGGAGAGTAGAAGGAGGCAGATTGGGCCACTCTGCCTGGGACAGCCCATCCTGAACTGCGTGTGGCAGGCAGAGGACACACACGCTGTTCACCTTACCTTGCAGGCCTGTGAGCATTCTTACTGCTTTCTCCTTTAGAAGGGGAAGTATTAGGGTTAAAAATCAAAAGTCCCTAGGAGTGCCCCTGCATTTGACTTGAAAGGGTACAGGTGCAGGCCCTACCCTTGTTCATAGCTGGCCTCCGAAGGACCATCAGGCTATAGGGTGAGCAGTTTGTCGGCTCTGTGTGGAGAAAGTAAGCGGCTCCTTTGTTAAGGGCCCACAGGTGTCATGGAAAAAGCTACCAGCAACAGGGCAACTCCTGCTTTTATGAAGTCCTCGTTTGGCAAGCAGGATGGTTAGCTGAGCTTTATGAACTCGGTGTTACAGGGTGCAGTGGGAGATACTGTCACCTCTTCTAGGAGATGAATGAGATCTTGAGTGTGATGATTTGAGCGGGGAGGAAAATTGTCCTGTGGTACCCTGGAGCCACCCTGCAAACACGGTTGGCTACCACCCTTCCGACTCCCTACAGGGAGCTCTCCCTCCACACAGCCCTTCTCACTGACCTGACTAAAACTTTTCAGAGAGAAAGATGAGGGTGTTAGGCCACATAGTTGACCCTCAAACTCCGATGATGCCTTGCCCTCTGCTCACACATGTCCCCTCCACCCTGTGACCAATTGTTGAAGGACTCTTTGAATCTCTGGAAGTCTGGTGCAATGATACTTGTTAACACATAGCTGAGCTTGGCCACCCCGATTAACCCACAGCCCCAGCTGCTTCTCTAGAGTTCTGGTCTATTGCAGCCTTTGTTAGACAGGAGATTTCTTTATCTTCAGCAGGATGCCTTGAAAACAGTGTCTATATTAGTAAAGGGGCCCTGACCACACAGCTCTCCAAGACTAACTGTGTACCTAGGTGTGTGTATGGGGGGTAGGATTTATCATGGATGGGCAAGCATGATGACCAAAAGTCTAGCTTTCAGAATCAGATGGTCTTGGGGTGGGTCTCTGGGAGCAGTTAATGATATGACCTGGGTTGCCTTTGTGAGGCTAGGTTTTGCTGACTGTAAAATAAAAGGACAGAACTCACCGATCTCAGGGTTCTCTCTCAAAATGACAACACTTTCAAACCGCCAAGTGTCTGACCCTTTCAGATGTTTGTCATTAAAAACTTGAGCCACAAAGTGAGGGACTGAGCGCCAGTCCCCACGGCACAGTTTCAACAAGCACCATTGTCTACCACTGTCCAGGCTTTCCTGTTGATCAATGTAGGACCAAATTAAACACATCTCCAGAGAAGTCAGACTTACCCTCGGTGCCAGGTAATGGCCTCTCCAAAGGTGGAGGTGTGGATTTCAGGCTGTTCCCCATCTTTCTCTTGCCTGGGGCTGTGGAAGGTACTTGAAGCCTGCGGTACAAGAGACACACACGTAGCATGAAGCGCACGCAGAGCTCCCTGAGTGGAGAGTGACCTAGTTCAGAGCGCATGGTGCATCATTTCTCAGGCAGCACGCTCCTTGAAAGGCGGCTGTTTTTTTTATGTCAAGATGCGATGCATGAGTGTTGGTTACAGAGGCACAGCTCAATTCTTTTATCAAGGGAATGACAGAGAAAAACCACAGAGAAGGAAGTTGCTCACAAGGGCTGTTGGTGGCAAAAGTTTCCATTCCTCCACGCCGTTGCTGAGCAGAGCAGGGGGTGCTGGAGAAGTTGAGCAGTGTTTTAGAGAGCCCTGAAGAAGCTGTGCTCACTCAGACTGTAGCCAACAGTTCTCAAGGCCCAGGAATTCAGGCACAACACACTTAAGAGCCTGAACACACTTCACAGCCTGAAGGGGCAAGGCCAGGCCAGGCTGGGGGCCTCTGGGTCTGACTCTTCCTTGACTGTTTGAATTTCCACACCTGTGTTAACGAAGAGCGGCAAAGGCCAGCTTTGTGACCACACCCTTTACTTGGTGGGTGTCTGCTCTCCCTGCTGCAGAACTCATTCACCTCTGCTGTAACCTTGATCATGGCAAAGCCCTGTGCCCTTAAAGAAACAGGCTCTAAAGGGGAACATAATTGACTCAAGCTCATATACAGGGAAAGGAGCAGCTGTCTGGGTTACCTCAGGATGGTCTCTCTGGGAGCCCCACACAAACTACAATGCTGTAGTTCTCCCTTACGAACCGATAACCTCTTGACAGTTTTTTTTTTGTTTTTGTTTTTGTTTTTTTTTTTGCCTGCTGTTGGGGACTACAGGCAGGGTGACTTTGGTTAGCTGCCACAAAACTAAGTGAGATGAAGCTGGTGAGACCCAGCACATGGCCTGACTGGCGAGCATCACGTTAACAAGCATTCGAATCCAAAGATTTTGCACAAGTATTTCGAAGAGAGAAGAGAGTCTCAGTGAAGCACAGGGAAGGGGGTCACAAATAGGGACAGAGTGGTTCCTGTTTCAGGGGAAAAAGGGAAGAGACTAGCCAGTGTGGAGGAGGACAAGAAACACATAGTCCAATGGGAAAATATATTCTGCTTGTTCTGAGTACACAGCTTGGGTCAAGACCTCGTGAGTTTGAACCAGTCTACACTCCCTAGACCCTGGCTTCAGATCTTATCCCCATGCTCTGTCTATGCAGTCAGTCTCTAGCCACAGGGCCAGCTCCTCAGAAGCCCCTCATATGCTGAGGATATCACAGGTCAAAGTTGTATTTGTGCACCCAACCTACTATGTGAAACACAATAACATAGCACCATGTAGGGATGGGGTGTTGCCCCTTGTGACCAGGTAGCCAAAGGCGACCTTGACTCCATCCTGGTGCACATTATTAAGAGAGAAGATTGGACCACAGATGTGAGTCTAGGAAAAACAAAAATATCATCATTCAAAATTTGAAGTACAACTTTGACCGAGTGCACATGGCTTTTGAGCCACTGCTAAGCTTAAAGTCTCAAGTCCTGTGTCCACAAGTTCTAGAAAGAGCTACGCTCTGAGAGCAACCCCTCTGGAGGAGGCAGAGGGAGGTCTGCACTACTTCCTAATTCTGGAGGAAAGGAGACAGGCGGTGGAATCCCTCAGCTATTCAGAAGCAAGGAGAACAAAAGGGAGGCTTTTATTTTAAGAGTCCTGTGTTCTCAGCGTTTATATGAATAAATAGTGACTGGTTGACAGTACTCCATAGAAGGCTTTTAAATACAGAATGGGTGATGACTTAACCCCTCTTCCCTGCCGGTGCAGTGAACAGTTCTGGGACTTCTAACCCACACCCAGCCCTGAGCCAGGGGCCTCTGAAAGACAGGACCTGCTGGCCAGACACAGCACGTGTGCTCTCATTCAAACCCTTCCCGGTTCTTCTCAAGTGTTTGCAAGCTGTTTGAGGAGCCTATGTTCCTAAACTTCAGAGAGAGAAGGAGAGAAGAAAGGAGGGAGGGAGGGAGGGAGGGAAAGACGGAGGAGAGAGGAGAAGAAAAGAAAGGGAGGATGGGAGGAGGAAGGAAGGGACGTTGGAAGTTTACATTTTTTTTTTTCATAGAGGAAACCTGAGATGTACAAAAGAGACAAACCCAAAGACATTAGCTGATGAGGGCACAGGATGGGCTGGCCCTCCCTAGGCCCGGGCCTTCTGCTCTTACCTTGCTTCCTAGGTTCTGACATGCTATCCTCTCTCTCCTTCTCCTGACAAAAGGACCGAAGAGCCTCTTGGACCTTTGAGTCCTGTTACCTCAACAGCACCATAGCATGGCCTACCACCTCATAGAGCCTCCAGGAAGGGGTTAAATCACCACGTGAGGGCTTTTATTTGAAAAGAGTGGCAATGCCCAGAAGCAGGGGAGCTGGGGCCTCCCTGAGGAAATAACTGAACAATTTGATTTAATCTGTGACAGTTTTCTGCAGTGGCTAGAGAAGGTGCAGGAGACTAATTGCTTCTATGAACAATAAGAAAAGGGCAGAAGAGAGCTGAGTTAATTAACGCTGGTCCCGCCTCTCCCTGACCTCCTTCCCCTTCTCGGAGGGAGGAGTGTCTCCACCTCCAGGTCCAGGTGGAAGGACTGCAGGGGCTCATCGCATTATCACATTCTTCTTCCTCCATTCCTAGAGCTAAAGCTATTTTTCTGTGTGGTCTTTAGCCTCGGTTTTCACTTCTGAACAATGAGAGGAGTAGGAGAGCGGCTCTCCAGACAGGGAGCCTTTTTACCCCACTTCATTCTAGCAATCAAGACTCCATGGATTCTGGAAGATTAGTAATAAGAGAAAAGAGCCTTCATCATTTTTACAAAATCCCACTGGGGAGAGTATGAATTCTGTCTTTATATTTTTGGGATGGGGATATCAGCATTTCTGAGAGCAGACCCTACTTTTTTATCCTAAGAGGGTAAAGGGTCAGAAGTTGGCCCAACTGCCTCGGGTTCCAGTATAAAAACCCCATCATTCTTGACTACAGGCAGCCTGCCCTCTGTGCAACCATGCTGCTGTCTGTCCTCTAGAGGACACCGGACAGTGCATGTCTGCCCGCTGAGCGGTCCAGGAGGCTGGGCTGTCTATGTTTTCAGCAGCCCTTCTCTGCTCCTCCCCCATCCCCCTCCACTGTGGGTCTGCATCAGGGCAAGGGGTCTGCAGCTCCCAAGCTGATGGCCTCCCACAAGAGAACCATGTGTCTTTCCTACACAGCACACTTACTGCCCTTGTCTGCCTGTGGAAAGGAAGGTTAGCTGTGCAATTTTCAGACCATCAAAAAGAGAGAACATTGAAAATCAACCAGGGGCAAAGCAGAGTCCACTCTGGGGGGCACATAGGAGCCAGCCTTCACCACAGCAGGCATGAATATAAAACCTGAGAGGCCAGCCTTCCCTTTGAAGGAAGATATCTTCTACAACTTGACACCTAAAAAGTATTCTGGTAACCATCCTGTAAGATCTGGGATCCAGAGACTGCTAGTCAGGAGCTCCGGTGTCCACTTGGCATGTCACCTCTGGTCACAACAGTGATACATGAAAGAGCCACCAAGCAGATCAGTTTTGCGCTGTGCTGCACGGCGCTAAGCACTGTAACTACTGACTGTGCACTCAGTCCAAACTAGCTGTGGGCAGAGGTTTCAGAACTAGGCAGAGGTGATGCAGAGGTCAAAGCAGGCTCCCTTGCTCCAAAGCCCACACTCTCCCCACCTCCGGGGACTTGCCCTATCCTCTTATCCTCCCTCCTAGTCTGAGAAGATGACAGCAAAGGGATTCTTCAAAGTCACCCGAACAAAACTTGGCAGTCATAAACTCTGAGGGGAACTGAGGGAAAGGAAGGCCAAGGGGCCTCTTAGAGAAAACACAGCCATGACTGGAAGCCTAGGCCTGGCAACACACTGTGGGAAGGAGAAGGTATTGAAGGCATTCATGAAGGCTTGCTGCTATTTCAAGGTGGGGGGCAGGGGTGTGAAGTAGATCCTAGACTTGCCAACACTCAGAGCTGTGGCACGCTAGGTCAGAATGGAAGAGAAACTGGTGACCATGCTGAGGTAACATGTAAAAAATTACCTATGACCATAAATATGTAATGAATGTATGATACATATTTATGGTCTTGCAATATAGCTCAGGCTGGCCTAGAACACTGGATCCTTTGCCTGAGCCTCTGACGTGCTGGGGTGACAGGCATTCACCACTCTGATCAACTGCATGAAAATGTGACAGCATACGCATGCGTTAATATATCAAAGTAGCCCGCGAAACTTCCGCAGGAGTTTCCAAGAGCTCTCTCTGGGTGTGGGTGCTATCACAGGTGAATGTGTGAGCTTCTGGGGTGCACATCTCTGTAGTCTCCATACTTGTCTTATGTGCATGAATCGGTTTTGTGCCTCAAAGCTGGGCAAGACAGAGAGAGCTCCGCAGGAGGGTCTGCAGAGCCAGATTAGCATTGCTAGTTCCTGTCTCCACTACCCGCTTACTGGCTGTGTGGCATGTCTCCACTCCCTGCTTACTGGCTGTGTGTCTTCAAGCCACTTTTTTCACCCTTCCTGGCTCTCTACATTCTGTTCTTTTCTACCCATTTAAAATAAAAATGTATGCTCCACAGGCTTGTTTGGGAGAATTAAATTGCTATGTGTAAGTAGAGCTGAGGTGTGTTTGGTAAATAGTAGCCCAAATATACCCACGGCAGGTCCTTTTATAGTGCCAGTCATTAAATCACTCACTGTGCCAGCTGAGCAAATAAATCACTTGCCCTTTCTAGGTTGTGTCGCTTCATCTACCCTAGCCCTACCCCCAAGGCATGACTGGCCCCTGTATTTCCATGTCTGCTCGAAACTTGTTCAGTGATGGCTGAAGGTCTGACACTTCGCTTCAGGGAAAATAAGAGCTGCAATGGGGGCTTAATGCCAGGATCCACTGAGAACCTGGCAGGATCTCCTGGGGTACCACACCACATCCTGGCCTCAATTGACAG